ACCTATTAATCATCCTCTCTCCATCTCTCCCTCCACCACACCCTTCCAGGTTCTGGTAACTACTATTGTATTCTCCATTAATCTTCTGGCTTCCATATAGCAGTAAGAACACAGTATTCATCTTTTTGTGCCTTATTCCACTTAATATAATTGTCCTCCTGTTCCATCTATGTTGCTGAAAATGGCAGTTTCAGTTTTTATGACTTAATATTCTACTGTGTATACATACATACATACATACATATCTCACATTTTCTTTTACCCATGTGTCAGGGGACACTTATGTTGTTTCACTATCTTAGATATTGTGAATCATGCTGCAGTAAACATGCTGTTGCAGATGTTGCTTCAACATCCTGACTTCAATTCCTTTGGGTATATACCCAGTAGTATGATAGCTAGTTCATATGGTAGTTCTGTTTCTAGTTTTTGGAGGAACCTCTACTGTGATTTCCATAATGGCTGCAGTAATTTACATTGCCACCACCAACAGTGTGAGAGTTCCCTTCTCTGCGTCTTTTCCGGGTCTCTCCTGATAAATCCCCAAATGTGGCACTGCTGAATCATCTGAACCAACAGCTGAAATTTTAGCATATGCTGTTTTTGGTCTCCATCCCTGCAACAAGTTCCCTCCCCACTCTCTATTGCACACCTGGTTACTCATTTCCATTATCTGCCTGGGCCACCATTTACACTCATGACCTGACTTACAACTGAAGGGTAACAGAAATATAGAATGGGACACAGCTTTGGGATAACTTTCCTACTCACAACAGCCAAGATGTGGAATCAACCCAAGTGTCCATCGATGGATGAGTGGATAAAGAAAAGGTGGAATATATACCCAAATGAACTAATATTCAGTTATCAAAATGGATGGAATCCGGTAATTTGCAGCAATGAGTGAAATAAGCAAGGCACAGAAAGACAAACACTGCAGAGCAGAATAGTTAGCAGGAGATGGAGAGATTAGTGGGGACAGAGAGATTAATCAAAGCTACAGTTAGATAGGAGGAATAGGTTCTGCTGTTCTGTTGCATAGCACGGTGACTACAGTTAATATTGTACTGAATATTTCAAAATAGCTAGAAGAGAGTAATTTGAATGTTTTCATCACAAAAAGTTATAAATGTATAAGTGAATATGCTAAAAATGTTTTTTTACATAGGTATACATTTATAGGAGCAGCACACTGTACCTGTAAGTAACAATTATGTGTCAATTAAAAAAAAAAAACAGACCCTTATCCCTTTAAAAGTTCCTAAACAGACTTGCCAGATGGCTACAGTGTAATGCTTAGTGTGAAGACATTAGGACAGGAAAAGATAATCAGAAGTGGTCTCTTATTTTCAAAACTGCTCAGTTACCCGCTATAGCTCTGGGTAGCCAACACTACTTGGGAGACCATGCCCAGGGCTGGCTTTCAATTCTTAGAAAAGATGAATTGCTGAATTTTTTTTTCTGTTTTTGGTGGTACTGGTATTTGAACTCAGTGCTTCATGCTTGCTGGAGGAGGCATTCTATCACTTGAGACACATCTCTAGCAGAAAAGATGAATTTTAAAAAAATGACCAAGGACTTACATGAAATACATGACCTCACTTATGTGACATCTAGAGAAGCTCATCTTACAGAGAGAGACCCATTTACTTGTTTTGATGTTTTAAGTTTAACAAAAAGAGAAAGTTTAGAGGGATGTAGCTATATGCTTTGCAATACTTCTAGATACTGCAGCCTGACTTGGCTTGGTTCCTGTTGCTTTCATACAGCATTTCATTCATTTCTCACAAAACCCACAAAGTAGCTCTTGGTACTCTATTTTATGGATGAGGACACTCAGGTCCAGAGAGGTAAAGAGCGCTGCCTAAGATCATGACAAATGATAAAGCTGGGCTTTATAGCCAGGCATGTCTGATTGTGAAGTCAGTGATTTTTTTTTTAACAGGTCTAATTTGATACCCTCTAAATTTTTTTAAAAACATGGTTTTAGGAGACATGAGAAGACATGTATAATATATTGTGTCCTTAACTGTAGATCACATCACTTTCAAAATTTAACAGGCATGATGTTTCTAGATGGAATGGTTGTTCAACCTCACTTTGGGTGAGGATTTTCTCACTGGTAACTACTGAAGGACTCCTAAATTCTAATTTGCTATTACTTTCCATTTATTTAGCACTATGTAGCATAATTCTTTGGAAGATAAGTAAGAGGTCTTAAAATATGAATCCTTCCTAAGATGGTGGAAAAGTGTGGTCAAATAACTAGAAGTCAGTTTACTTTTTACTTCAGGGACCTGTAAGAACATTTAATCAGAAAACCTGACCTAGCAGGGGATGTGGTATGGACAGAATTGTCTTTGAGGAATTTATACTTCAGCTAGAATCCAAAAGTTAACTAGGATTTAGTTGCCTAAGACATGAGCAAAGAGCACTGCAGACGAGGAAAGCCAGTATGTTGAAAAGGGAGGGAACACTCAGAGACCATTCTCTAGGTTCCTTATAGCATCTCATTGATTCCCTAGTATTTAGTCTGCCTAGTCTAGTTAGCATCCAACTATGCCAAACTTCTGTTCTGAAACTTCATTTTTTCTACAATGAATCTCTTGTTGTAAATTTTCTATTTTTACAATAACCATCATTTATTGAGTGCTCACTGTCCTAGGCACTTTACACACATTATTTCATGTACTGCAAATTTGGCACTAAACTTTGCAATTGAGAAAACTGAGATCCAAGGTTACACCAGTGAAGCTTCAAACCTATTCTCAAATTCAGGTAACGATGACAATCTGTCAAAGATTATTCTCACACACTAAAAACACACTTTCTAGAAGAATCTGTCTCACTCAAGGATTGTTATCAGGAGACCTTTAATTCCTTCCAATAACCAGGGGGTACACTTCTCAGGGATTGGGGATACTAAGCTCCTTGGGTGACTGCAATGGGCAGCAACACTGACAATCCCTGCTGGACATGACCTAACTTGTAACATCTCCTCCTTTATTATTCTCCCTGTTCCAGTCATACTGTTCTTTATCTTCAACAGGTAAAGCATTACCTTTCCTCTAGCAGGCCCTCTTCTCTTGAAACATTCTGTACCTTTCCATCCCCTTACGTAAAGCTCCTTCAAATATTTCACTCTTCAGAACCCTCATCTCTTTTTTCTTTATTCATTTATTCATATGTGCATACATTGTTTGGGCCATTTCTCCCCCCTGACCCCTTGTCCCATCCCTCTCCCTGGATCCCCCTCACTTCTAGGCAGAACCTGTCCTACCCTTTTCTCCAATTTTGTTGAAGAGAAGACATAAGCAATAAGAAAAACATAGCATTTTTGCCAGCTGAGTTAAGGATAGCTATACAGAGAGATTCCTAGCACTGCTTCTGTGCACAAGTGTGTTACAATCTGAATTGATTCATCTCTACCAGACCTCTTCATTACTTCCTGGTCACCTTCCCATATTGACCTCTGTTGTTTTAAGGTTTCTCTGTTAACTCCTCTGCAGTGGGGACATCAAACACTGTCAAGTTTTGGGTTTCCTACCTTTCCCAGTTCCTCCCGTATGTGTTCTCTCCTTAGCGTGTGACCAAGTCTAATAATATTACTGCATTTGTTTTAGGTCTAAAGTCCGCGTATGAGGGAGAATGTGATTTTTGTCTTCTGAGCCTGGCTAATTTTGCTTAAGTTGAGGTTTTCCAGTTCCATTTACCTGTGAATGACAAGATTTCATTCTTCTTTTGTGGCTGAGTAAAATTCCATTGTGTATAAATACATTTTCTTAATCCATTTGTCAGTGGTGGGGCATCTTGGCTGTTTCCGTAACTTGGCTATTGTGAATAGCACTGCAATAAACATGGGTGTGCAGCAACCACATGGCTGTGCCTCTGGAGTAACCTGAGTCGCATTTCATTGGCTGTATCCCCAGGAGTGGGATGGCTAGATCATATGGCAGGTCTAGGTTTAGTTTTTTAGGAAGCCTCCATATTGTTTTCCAGAGTGGTTGTAACTACCTTGCATTCCCACCAGTAGTGTATGAGGGTTCATTTTTCCCCACATCCTCACCAACATTTGTTGCTGGTGGTTTTTGATGATAGCTATTCTAACGGGTGAGGTGAAATCTTAGTGTGGTTTTGATTTGCATTCCCTTTGTAGCCAGAGATGATGAGCATTTTTTCATGTTTTTTGGCCATTTGAATTTCTTCCTTTGAAACAAAGTTCTGTTTAGTTCAGTTGCCCATTTCTTCATTGGTTCACTGATTTTGGGAGAGTTTAGTTTTTTGAGCTCTCTGTATGTTCTGGTTAGTCCTTTGATGTATAGCTGGCAAATATTTTCTCCCACTCTGTGAGTGGTCTCTCCAGTTTAGAGACCATTTCTTTTTTTATGCAGAAGATTTTTAATTTTATGTAGTCCAATTTGTCCATTCTTTCTCTTAGTTGCTGAGCTGCTGGGGCAGAACCCTCATCTCTGAGAGGCCTATTCTAACCACTCTATTAATGCTGCAATCTTCCTAATATTCTAGATTTCTGACATATTTGTTACTTGTCTCCATGCTAGAAGGCAAGGCAGAGAACTCTGCTTTGTGTATTCATGGACTCTAAGCATCCTGCCTAGGTTTACAATTATCTTGAGATTGTGTAGCCTTTTGATGCCATGCTGTCTGATAATGGTAGATGGAGCTTTACTGAACTTTTGCAATTCACATCGTATGGATAGTTATTCCAGATATGGCAAACAAAAGAGGCATCTGGCCATGTTAACTTTTTCAGTCAACTTTTTCCTAGGAAACACCACCAACTGTATAACAAATACTCCAAAATTTACAGCTTATAAACACAACTTTTATTAGAAAAGTTATACATAACATAGCATCAACTATTTTCAAGACAATATTAAACCCAATAAGCAACAAAAATCAGACTAACAAAATGTGTAACAAGAAACTAATGACCTTTCTATAATCAAACATTCAATTATCTACAATGTCTTTTTACAACAGGAGGGGGAAAGGGGGGCGGGGGGAAGATCCATGGTTTACAGGCACATCATATTGAAAATAAAACTGCAATAGCAATTTTAAACAATTACCATTCTCAAGAAAATGAATCATTAAAACAGTAATTACGAGTTCACAAATTTAAAATATTTCACATAATTTTAAATTACTGGGTATACAATGAAGTCTGAGTTTTAAAAGTGATTTTTTTTCCCACAAAAGTGCCAACACTTAAGCTAGAACTTTCAGCATAATTTTGCCTTAAAAAGTTAAGACATGTTCTGATAATCGTAATAGACACCTAATTTCTGGTGCTATCTGGTCTGTTAATAAAGCCTATCTGGATGTGTTTTTCTTCATTTAAATTATAGGGAACCAGATATAATATTTCAATTGCAAAGCTATTATAATAAGAGTTCCAAATACAGGAGTGTGCAGCATTGGAAAGAGATCAGTACTAACATTTATAATAAATATCAGAGAAGCCATTAGTTTTTACAGCATTGTTTGCTTAAAGGTTATTTTCCGTAAGTCTACACTTTTAGTAGGCAGAGGAATTTCTATTTTCATGAGCTGAATACTCAAATATATCCAAACATCTTTTAAAACTCTGATTTATAGCTCCCAGAAAGTTATAAATGTTTTTAAAGTCATTCCACTTTTACAAGTCTATTTCTGCTCATTTTGAAGCTGCACTAAAACAGAGTTCAGGACAGCAAAGTTTAGCATAAAGACTCAAATGGAATGATTTGTAAGACAGAACACTTGAACCAAGCTAGTCCTATCTTTTGGTAGCTGCAGGGGATCAGTCACAACACAAATTCACATACTCGTGCTCATTATGGAATTACACATTAAAAACATATCTCAAAGAGGATGATCTCTGTTGCTTCACGTACTATCCCTAATAACCACATTGCTGGTTTTACTGATGGGAAGACATTTTCTCTTCCTGTCAAAGGACACACACCAGAGTTCTTAATTAAACTGCCAGGCATTTTCCTAGACAGGTTTTCCTTTCCAACATGATAATAGAGAATGAAGATTAAAAATTATGACTTTTGGGCTGGTGGAGTGGCTCAAGTGGTAGAGCACCTGCCTAGCAAGCATGAGGTCCTGAGTTCAAACCCCAGTACCACCAAAAGAAAAAAAAAATCACTAAAAATTATGACTTTTGACTGTTATTCAACATTATTACATGCACCAATATTGCACACATCTGTTCTGAACTGTTAAAATAGTCTTCTGGGTCCTTTGGGCGCTGTTTTCTCCATCAGAACACAAGCACAACCCATACAAGCAGTTTCCCTTAAAGATGTGATGGACAAATTAAAAATACTGGAAAAAAATGAAGACAGAAAAGGCAAGGATTTTGTACAAAAATCTAAAAATTTTCTTAAAGGGTTTTGTGTGCCCTACACATGGGGGCAATTTGTACGCCCTAGTGAACGAACACTAGGTACAGTGCCTCTAGCTCTTCAAATAATATGGAACCTGGGTCCAGGTGTTGCAATGATGTCACTGTATGGCTCCTCCTGTGACAGCTCAATAGCTTGCTGCTTTTTAAGGACCAAAAAGCTGTAGAACTTTGCTGCAGCCTGCTTTCTGTTTGTGTTTCGACATAATTCAAGCAAACTGATAGATTCAGCTCCAGTTTTAGCAAGGGCTCGCTGAAATAAAACCACGAAGGACAAATTAAAGCACACAATAAAGTAGTAATTGAAGAAGGATACTAATTTTGGTAAGAAAAGGTAAACTATATATTCTTTTGGGGGCTGAGATTCAAATTTGAGTGATTTTCATGTTATCAAGAAAATAAAAGGTCAAAGCATATTATGCTATGTCCACAAGGAAAAAAACAAGGAGGAAGCAAAGTTGCTATAATACATATTAGTCAAATAACTAATTTCTTTGGATACCTAATGTGATGAGATAATAAAATCTAGTAGTTAACGTGAATTTTAAAGTGAAAAAAATTAAGTATCAAACTAAAATGCTTTTTAGGGTAAATTGCTTTCCATGGTTCTTCTTCCTGGTCTAACAGTTTATGTATTTAATTAATATATTTAAAAATTATGTAGTTCTTGAAGATGTTTTACAACTGTATGTTTTTTGATTATAACACATAGCTTTTATTTTTGAGCAACAATGCCCAAAGTATTTGATGAAGCATTTTCCTGTAAGACTACCCTGGCATACCTGAAGACCATGAAGCATCTGTTGAGTCCTTTTATTCCATCTCCTTTCTTCTTGATCCTGATCACCCCCTGAAGCATCTTCGTCCTGAATGAAAATGATCCCAACAAAATGAGGAAACTGCTCTGCTGCAAAATGAAACATTTCTGTACCTCCTGAAAGCTCTGGTTATCTTAAGACTGTGCAATAGTACTTGTTGCTGCTGAAAAATCACTTGGCATCTAGCATGAACTTTGAAGTTTGATTTCTTATAAAAGAAAGTCCTCCTTCTCAGCAAACATTTGGCTGAATGTATGGTTCTATATTGTTCTTTAGGGATGTGGTTTACACAGTGTGGTCCATGGACTGTTGCTGGCCATTAAGTTTTTGGTTACTAGTGCCCCAGTTAAGGAACTTATACAAGGGTATAAACCATGCTATGCCACTAAGTATAATGTTTATTTCAACTAAATATATCTCTGTTTGCTGTAGTATGATTTCTAAGTGATTTATTAAACTGGGAGACTCCTAATAGTGTAATAGTCCAGAACTGAAGAGCCTGTACTGTGTAAGAGTAATTAGTATTGTTCTGTATGGTGTATTAAAAGAAATGGGCTATAATTCTTTTGCGTGTCATCCTTGCGCAGGGGCCATGCTAATCTTCTCTGTATCGTTCCAATTTTAGTATATGTGCTGCCGAAGCGAGCACAAAATGGGCTATAATTCTTAATGTACATTTTACTGCAGACCTGCTGCCTCAATGATTTTCTGACATCTGGCATTGGTATGGGGTAGCAGCTACAATGCTCCCCAGCTATGCCAGTATTACATACACCATGTTCCAAAAAGCCAGGGGTCTGCACCTTCATATACAATAGAAAGCACAGACAAGTTTAAATACTGATTCAATACTAAATCTGAGATAATGGAACACTGTAGTACATAGGCTGGAGTAGCTGTGAACTAAATTTTGATTTTAAAATAATGTAGTATTCATATTAAAGGTAAGCACCAATGCTATAGCTGACATAAATTAGAAGTATGAACAGATGCTAGTGAAAATGTATTCAATCTATAGCCACTAGTGTTGGAAGAAATTTAAGTAGCTTCAATGCTACCTAAAAGATACCTTATTTTAAACTTAAGAGGTTTGAATAAAATACACAACAGAGCATCAAAAAGAATAAATTCTGCGTCATAGTATTACCTCAATGACCAAGAAATAGGAAGGAAAAACTGTAAGAAAGGATCTTGAACAGTTAAAAACACACTCTAGGAAAAAGAAAAACCATTTCCAAGGTATCTCTATTTTTAAAAAGTCAGTCATCCAAGCCTTCACTTAGACTAGCTATGTCATGCTCTAACTGTGCTCTAATTAAAACATAACTAAAACGACAAATGAAAAATGTCTGGTTATTTGACTTCTAGGCCAGGGAAGGAGAAGAAGACGTTATAACAGAGGCAGATGATAATTGACCACTGACCACAAGATAATAATAAAAGAAGCTATAAGCAATTTAGAACTCAAGCAACAAATCAGTTTCAGGGCAGTCCTGTGTCCTTCAAAAGCCCACAGGGGAACCCATGAATTACAGCACCACATACAATCTGATGTACTTTATGATGATCTATGCCACAAAAAATTTGGTTAAATTTTGATTCTATTTGAACATTTTTCATCACTCTGATATTCAACATCAATTTAAGTTAGCTCTAATATGAAAAGTAACAAAAGGGTGAAGATTTCTGCTAAATCTGAAATTTTATTCAGTAGGTATTTTTTAGTTTCCTTACTTCTTCCTCTTCGTCATCCTCTTTCTCCTTCTCTTTTTCCTTTTCTTTTTCTGGCAGAAGTTCTAACTCTGGTATTAGCTGACAGATATTAGGAGGTTCTTCTGGGGGAAGTTCTACAGGTGGTATTTCCATCTGTTCTACCTGCTGAGGCTTAAAACAATAAAAACAAGGCAGTGTAAGAAATAAATATTAAAGATATTGAAGTTTTTTAGATGAAAATAAATGGGGTTGTATCTCCATACTTTCCCAAAGTTCAAAACTGATTATGGTATGTGCCTTTGTATTACTGTAAAGTGACAAAATCAAGTAGCTTTCAAAGGAAATGAACCATTTTTCTAAAATGTGTGTCATTTTTATGTTTTTTTAGGAGTCGTATACCTAAAGTCTATGTGAGAAATTTGTAGTAACAAGAAAAACTGGAAGCATTAAGACAAAAATGAAAGCAAACCCTTTTTCCACTAGCATTTTAGAAAAAAAACAAAAAAAATTGAAGCCATGGCAAAATAAAACTGTTAACTAGTACAGTATTACTGCATAAAATTGCCTTAAAGATATTTAGAATGTAAGTTAAAATCTTAAGCTTTCACCCTCAGTAAAAGCTTTGTAACTGTTACGCAGCAAATAATAGGAATAGAAGACTATTTCTGGAAATGCCTTCTGTATTTCCTTCCTTTTCACCATAATAGTTAAGAACATTAAAAAACAGTCTTTAAGAAACAAGAGAATCACAGGAGAGTAGTACAAGTCACTTACCACTACCTGTTATCATTTTAGGGCTCACACAGTAAAATGCACCTACTGGTAGCTGCTTACCACCAGGGGTCTCAAGAGGCAGTTTCTAAAACAAATTTTAGTTCCTAAAAGGAGTTTTCTTCTGCCAATACCTCTGATGGAGACTGAATTAGGAGCCTAATGTTAACAAAAAACATTTATCCTAACTAATCATAAGTTGAAAATTGAGAAGCCTTGAATCAAACCCTACTACTTCCTTTATAGTTTTCCTATGCTATGTGAACTTAATGATAGCCAAAGTATGAAGTAGTCAGATTTGCTTTACTATTATTCACTATTTGCAAAGTATAGGGTGTTAGGCCTAAAACTACCTATCTAATATTGGAGATATGTAGGCCAAGGTTGCTTATTTTGGATCACTGCGAAGCAAGATTATTCAGTCAGTCTGTAAACTCCCAGAACATTATTCTCCCAATTATAGTTTATACCTTTAGCTGCCATTCTTCTGGACACATTAAACCAAGATATTTCTAAAGACTTGTTTAAATAGCACTTGTAGCTGACCATGTGAATACTTCTTAACTCTTTTCTTACTTACAGGAATCACGGGTTCTGGGTCAATCTGTCCAGCTTTTCGCTTAACTCCCTGAGGTGGTGGTGGGGGCATGGCTGATTCATCCAGGTTTGTTCTGCTGGCCTCCATCACTGACTCCTGGAGGCGGCTTGGCTCCTCTAAAATGGGCTCATCTGCAATTGATCACATGAAAAAGTCTCAGTTTTGAGCCGTAGTTTAGACCAATGTGCTTTTTAAAAATTAGTTCACATGGCATAGTTACTTTCTTTAATGAAGAAAGTCAGATAAAAATTTCCCTCAGAGATTATGGAATGTAACAATAAATGTAAAAGGGGGAGGGTCTTGAAACATAAGTCTCATCCCCAGCCCAAACATCAGTGCACCATCAACACAGCCAGTTCTAAACCTTAAACTTTTCTGAAAACCAAGCTTCACATGTAATGAGGCCATCAGACCTGATGCATTTCCCTGTCCCCAAATTCCAGCATATGCTCTCACTCCTCATTTCTTTTTCGTTGGCAATATGAAGGGATTTTAAGCTAAATATTCATTTAAATTTCATCTGGGAACTATCCCAACAGAACAGACCAATAACATCACGCTGTTGATGCTGCTGTTGCTGGTCATCTCTAGGAACCTCTGGATTTTCAAATTCTTTGAGGAACTCATCCAAATTATCCGCCTCTCCTCCTTTTCTCCTTTTTCTAAGGTCTTCTGGTACGAGTGGTGTAAGACAGCGCGTAAAAAGCTACAAAAACATAACAAAAAAAACCATACCAAGTGAAACAGTAACACTACTACTTTTAACATTGTTTTAAGAGTTGAAATCAGCATACAGCATGTTCATAATTTAACATGTTTACTTAATGTCATATTCACACTTCATTCCATTGTAAAATGATTCCAAATACAAGTTTCCAAATTATAACTTCAGCAATTTTAGAAAGGCTGAAAATAATTTAGCCATTATCTCAGTTCTAAGGTTTTATATCTTATTTGCCTGCAGTTATTTTCACATTCATAATCTAAAATCTCAACCTAGCTGCAATTATACCCAATAGTTTTAACGTGTTTTTCATTCACTATCATGTTACCTGAGTACCACTTTAATGGCTATATAGTATTCTCTGGGTGTGTACAGTGTGCATGCGAGAGGGAATAACATATCCCCTGGCTCTATTTATCACCATTTTAGTTTCCTCACTTTTTAAATTGCACATGGCAATGTAATCAGCATTTTCACAGAAGTAGCTCTTCCCATATTGTGAATTGCCTCTCATGAAAAGTTTCTGATAATGATACTGAGTCAAAGAATAAATATTCTTAAGGACCTTCTTCAAAACTGTTTTCCGATAGTGCTGCCAATGAAGAACAGCTTCACCATAAACTTCCTGCTGTCGAATACTTTAGAGTACAGTAAAATTAATTGATTCTATGCACATTTCAACTTAAAGCAGACCAACAGCATAAAAGCACAGGTACACTTACTCATCAGATACCTCTGAAACTTATTTTGGAGTGGTACAGAACCAGTATGAGCAGATAGAGCCAGAACTCTGGGAAAAGTGGAACTATCTCGTATTTTATACAGAAAACAACACTCAAAGAATGCAGATGTGACTGTACACATTAGGACAATATAATTAAGTTTATTACAGGAACTTTAGAAAGAACTATTATTAAAAATGTCAGTGACTTTTTTAATATTGGGAAAATTCATTCTATATCTGTCTTAGATTTATCACTTATCACTAAATTTCAGAGATTATGCTTGATGTATTGTGATTTAAGGGAGAAAAAAATGTAAGTGAAAACTATTTGATCAAAAAAATATAAACAAAGGTTTTAGAAATTTGGAAATAATTATTACTTTTCTTTTGGAAGTAGCAGTGTTTAAACTCAGTGCTTTGTGTTTGCTAGGCAAGCACTCTACCACTTTGACCACGTTTCCAGAGTGACTTTTTTAGAAGTCAAATGTTTATGAAATAAATTCTGCATTACCTTCAGTAGTCTGTTATTCCATAAAGGCTGAGCAGGTAAAGAGAAAAGTTTTTCCACTCCTCCTGTCTCTTTCCACATCATTAATTTCTTGGTGGGTGGTGCAAGATCCAAAGTTGTAACAATATCAGAATAATCACTAAGTTGTGCTCTAATGGTCTTGCTATCCAACTCTTTGACACTGTCAACAATTAGCTTCCTCTTCCTCTTGGCTTTAGTTTCTTTGACTAGAATTAAAAAGAAAAAAAAAAAGTCATTTTTTTCCCTGAGAGGTCAGCATGCAACATATATTTACTAAGCCTGGCCTGACTGTATCTTCTGTTTTTCTGCACACAGAACCTAGCAGAAGGTTAGGCCTTATGAAGACAAATGTTTTAACTGACATTTTTTTCCAACACCATGTAGAATGAGTTGGCATTAAACAGATATTCAATAGAAAGTTGCTGAATGAATAAATATCTATAGTCTTTTAGCACAAAATAAAGGAAATAATGGAAGAGCCAATACATTGCAGCCCACGTAGGTTTATACTATAAATGCTGAACATACTATATTTGATTAAGAGTTGGGCTGAGGTCCTAGGTTCTGACACTTCTTAGCTGTGACTATAAAATAAAGTCAACTTCACCTTGCTTAATTCATTTTTTTTTTCTTCTTATTTGTTTGAAATAAGGTCAACTGTTTATAGTTGTGAAATGCTCAGCTTAGTGTCTGGAATAGGTTGAGTTGCCCATAAATAGTTGCAAGTACTGTAATTTTTATTGGAAAAGCTATAATTCATACGCAAGTGTTCAAACTGTTGATAAAGTGACATCACATCCAAGCCAAAACAAAGAGATGGGAGACACTTCATATTTGTTTGTAATCTGTACAACTTTGCAAAGTAGGTAGCATTATCTAATTGAATAAAGACTATGACATATGACTGTGACAAAGGAGAAAAAGAGCTTTGCTATCTTCAACAGTAACAGATCAGTAGAAAGGTAAGAGCCAGAAGAAGGAAATTATTTTACACATTCTCACCAGTTATATCAATGGGCTCCAAAGCAAATGCTTCCTCCTCATTAGGAACAAGTGTTGTTTGATCAGTCATCGTTGGCATTGGTTCAACAGGATCCACTGAATCAGGACTATCAGGCCCACCCACTATAAAAACAAGTATAAATATAATCACAATTGGCCTAGGTATATAATGTATAGCCAATAAATGGAAAAAAAAATCCCTCTTTGGGACTGAAAGAAACCACAATGGTACTTTAAAAAAAAAAAAACCAACCAACCAACCAACAACAACAAAAAAAACCTTGCTATTTATCAAGTAGTCCCTTCTGATTTGAACTCTAATGGACAAAACAAGGAGAGGGCACAGTATTAAACACATAAGAGAAGCAACATATTCAAGGATGTATACATCTCAGTAAAAGCTACAACATTTCTTTGTAGTCTTCTATGTGAAGTATCTTTTTGGCTGTTATACGTCACCCCCCTCACCCCCAGACTCACTGAACAGTAAATGCTCACTTGAGACGTTATCATCCTCATCCATGTCATCATGTGCAGGCTGCTCTGGCAACATCACCCCTGTCTCAGAGAGGGCAGGCGGATCATCAAAGATACCACCATCATTATTACTAATAAGTTTGTCATCTGAAATAGGACAGGAAATGGAGTTAAATTGAAAAAAGAAATGCTAAAAAAACAATCACTAGAAAAATAAAATTATGTTGAAGTGGACTAAATTTAAAACTGTGTTCAATTTGTACTTTGTTACTTTGTAAGGTAGTTTGTACAACTGTAAAATAATTAGTATATTAAAAATTGCTTGTTTATTTATATTTCTAGTTCATATATTTAAATATACAGTCTAGCTTAAATCTACTTTAAAAATTTACTTAACATAGGTATCCAGACACAGAGTAAAGAACCAGGAGAATTTAGAACTCTAAGGCAAACGTCTTTATAGGAATTTGGTTGAACATTTTCAGGTAGTTTTATAGAAAACTTTTGGTGACTAAGATAGTGCTCAAGACCCAGAATTAGCAATTGCACCAAAACAACACAACTGAATAAAGCAATCATAGTAAACTACTTCTGGGGACTCACCTAATATTCCACCATCATTTCCTTCTCCAAAATTATCATCCTTATATTGGTCTTCATATTCTAGATGGTTAATTTTCTCATTCAGATTGCTGGTGCTCTGTTCAGGCTCTAAGAGGAGGTTAGAAGCACTAGTGCTTACTAGCATGTCGTCATCCTCAAAAGCACTGCCTTCTCTCATTATTTCACGATCATCCATTCCAAAGTCACCTAAGTAAAGTTTAGTAAATCATTAATTGAGAGAAGTCAGAAATAGTACTGTTACAAAGGACAATGGCCAATGATTGATTACAATTATTATGTCACACTTGCTGTCTTGCTTATCTTCAAATCTTGAAACATTAGTTTTAAGCTTTATAACTTTGGGGTACGACTAACATAATGAAATCAGACCTAGATCCAAATTTAGGTTATTCTAAATATGTTAGGCAAATCTAAATACCTAAATTACATTAGAATTCAGATGTACATTTTGTTACAATGTGTTTTTATTAAGAATGCAGTTTACTAGTAATTTTGAACAACTAAGTTTTCAAATAGTGATTACAATAATCCAACTGTTCTAAAATGATTAGTTTAAAAAGTAAGCATTACTTCAATGTTGAGATTTTTTTATGTAAGTCAAAATATAGGCAAAGAACAAACTCTTAATTTTGGTGCATTAATGGCAATGACGCTTAATATACACAAGCAAGGCAAACTCTTCTCTTAAATATCAGATGAAATTTTGAGTCTTTACATCAACACAAATGTATATTAAACCTGGTTTTCTTTTTGAAATTGCTAGAAGCCTCATATATAACATAATTTTAATTATATAACTAGTATCTAGAAACATTTCTCTCTTACCAAAATCATTTTCCTGTAGGATACTGATGTTCCCAACTTCTTCTCTCATGGTTATTTCTTCCACTCTACTCTGATTCAGACTGAACTGCTGGGCTACATCGATGTCACTTTAAAAAAAAATTTAAATACATTTCAGCTTCAAGTCTTACTATAATGTGTTTATACAAAGGGAAAAAAAAAACCCATACTCCAATTCTCTCTCTACATACAAAGATATCATGGTTGTAATGTCTAATACTTAATCAATAAATTCAAAATAGTCCAAATTATTTGGAGGTTTATTTATATTTAAAAAATTCAAAACTGAAAGTGACCAGTAAAATATAATACACTAAAATCATTACCTAAAGCAATATAGTATATATTATAGAGGCAAAAATTATAAATGATAGGTTAGATAGGCATGGGTTTTCATCAGGGCCCTGCAATGTATAGTCTGTGAACTCTAAATTTATCTGGCTTTACTGAAACTTCAGTTTTTCTAACGAATAACAGCCAAACCTCTCATACAGCTAAAAAAAATATGTAATTTTAAATATCAATCTGGAATATTGCTGGCAAAATTCTGAACATAAATACTTCAAAACAAATCACCAAGTTTACTCTGTAAATAATTAGCAAAGAAAAACAAGCAAACAAAACTTCCAAAACAACCTAATAAAACATGAAAGAGATGCAGAACTCTTAAATTCTTAATGCTTATGAGATGTATCAATTGTTGTCTATACACTTTGTGTAGCCCCAAGTCAAATAAATAAATAAATAAATAAATAAAATTTGAAAAAACATTTAAATAAGGAAGCTTAAATGCCTGCTAGACATATTAAGGAATCACAGTACTGTAAAGAGCATAGTGGCTCATCCCAGCTACTTGGGAGTCAGAAATTGGGAAGATTGCAGTATGAGGCCAGCCTGGGCAAAAATTCAGTGAGACCCCATCACAACCAATTAAGTTGGGCAGAATGGCTCACATCTGTCACCCCAGATTTATGGGAAGGCTTAAATGGGAGGACCCTATTTGAAAAATAAATAAAGCAAAAAGGGCTGGGGGTGTGGCTCAAGTGATACAGTACTTGCCTGGCAACTTTGAAGTACTAAGTCAAATACTGAGATGAAATAAGATTATCTAACTATTTAATCTAAAATAATCCAGTGTGTGCATGGGTAAGATAGAAAAATATGGGTGGAAGAAAACTGGCAACATAATGATAAAGAAACTAAATAACTGATACACAAAATTCATCATACCAATCTCTTTAAGGAAAGAAAAAAATGAAATAAAAAGTAAAGTAGTGCGTAGTCCAGCAGTAATTAATAGTTATGAAAACAGGTAAAATTTTTCTCCAATTAGGTATCTCAGATCATTTCAAAGAGAAATCTTTGCTACAGTTTTTTGGTTGTCAAACTCTATCACTTGGAAAGCTGCAATCACATTACCCAGTACTCTGCTATAAAGGCCATCTGTGTAAAACTTTCTCCTCTTAAATGTGTGCTGTGACAATGACACACTGTGAAGAGTGATAAAGTTATCTTTATTAAAAACAAATGTGGTTCTGAGTACAGCTTGACCAAGAAGAAACTAATAGATGACTTTAAGAGCATACCTACACAACTGTTCAACCTACACAAATTTTGGTCTAAGTACATCAGTTCTTGTACATTAGCTGTATTAAAAGCTGACATCCATGTTATTTTATTATAGAAGAAACATTTTCTACTGTATTTCATATAAACACTATCCTAAATGAATGTATGTGTTCTTTAGTAAGATGTCAACTTAATGTCAAAAACATTCCAAGAAAAAAACATACAACTTCAAAGTCAATAATGTATTTAAAAAATTTTAAAAATGAGAGACAGACAGACATACTCTAAGTCTGGCAGTGGCTGATCAAAGTCGTGAAATTCTTCAGGTAAAGTGATGGCATTATAGGCTGCTTCCCGATTTTCCTCAGGCAGGTCAACAACACCTGGAAAAGAAATATTAAGCTTAAAGACCTAGCTACACCACAGGTTAACAAAGGGAGGTGAAACAGAAATAACTTCCTGAGGTAATATTCTAGAAAGGTTGATAATCTATGCAAAGAAGCACCTTGTAGCACAAGTACTTGTTTTCCTATTATAAGCCTTTTGCATTACAAAAAAAGGTACAAAACCCAAAATTATGCATTAAACCACTAAATCTTTAAAAAAAAAACTTATCAACAAATAAATACCACTATTTTCTAGTTAAGCATAAAATTTAAGAGGGGGAATAGGAATGACTGCAAACAAGTACAATAAATGTCAAAATAAGCTGGTTATTTTAGGAAGAGTAGGAATGCACAATCTTAGCTATGTTTAAAAATTTCCATGATAAAACAATTTCAAATAAAAATGAGACATAACGAGAGGAATAGAATACATTTTACAAGCTGTCTACAATAAATACACACTACTTTGAAAAGACAGAAATAAAAACCATGTTTAAAAAAACACATGTAAGTAGCTACATGTTAGAAATCATTCAAAATTCAGTCTTTGCCTAAATATTTTAAATAAAATTTTAGACTGCATTTTATTCATGTATTAAAATAAACTGAAGCACAAGAATATAATCACAATAGAAACTATTGTGATATGTAAAGTATCTTCCTCATATGTTCAGATTATTTTAAATAGAATAAAATTTCTGAATGCCTTAAAAAAATGACGTGTGAATTCAGATGACTACCCTAGTAATTACCTGTTCAGATTAAGTTTGGTTGGTTAAGTCCAATTCTAGAAACAATCATTACCTAAACCAACATAACTACAAAAAAAAATTACAAAAAACATTTAATAAAGTTTCAATAAATTTAAAGTTGATTTGAGCTTAAGAATACACTAGAATTATTCAGAAAAAAATGTTAAAGATTGTCTTGAGTTATCTTTAACAATTCATCACATAACTATTGTTTTTTAACATTTCAATCTCTGATGATTCAGTTCTATGTAAGCTGCTAAAAAAGGGGTAAAAGAATTACTCCATAAATAGAAGATGGAAGTAAAGTGGGTTTCCCTTGAACTACTGCCTTCCCAAGCCTTGTTCTATCTTTGAAGGGTTCCTTGTATTGTAATGAAAATAAAACACAACATGCTAATCTAGAATATGTGTTTAGCAGTTTATCATATAAACCATGTGGAAAAAGAAGGAAGAAAGGGAGAGGGGGGGAAGGGAGGAAAGAAAAACAAAGGAAGAAAAAGCAATACCTGGCCGAAAAGCCATCTTTATCTTAATGAATGCTTCATTACAGTCTGCAAGAAGGTATTTAGCTTTCCTGTGATAGATTCGAACTACTCCCAGTAAGAGATGTCCTGATGTTCGCAGTGCCATCTTCACCTTTGAATAAAACATTAATATTAATCCAATTTATAGTTTTAGAGGACAGTATAATTCAAAGTTTGTATGTTGTGCTCTTTTATAGGGGATTTTCACTTTCTCTTATACTTTTTCTCATTTATTTTAAAGTTGCTCATAATCACATATATTTTATTTCTTGTCTTGATCTATAAATTCCTCGACTATTCCCCAAAGATAAACTGAACAGTAGTAATTAATGAATTAACATAGACATGAAGGTAGTTTATGAAGCAGGAACCAAATCATTCCATGAACTGTGTCATTAGTACAGTAAGTATGACTTGGATTCCAATCCAGAGCCACTGCTGATGCTGGTTAACTGAATTCTGATTGTTTCAGAACTGAATGCGTCCAACCTTAAAGAATGATTATCTCACTGTTGACTGTTAGTACTTGCTATTGAGTGGGCATGCTAACATGCTAACACATTTCAGCCAATTGAGAAATAAGGGTAAACTCTGCCAGAGAATTTCAGAGAAAGATTTTCTAAACAAAAGAATGTCTGTCTTCTATCCACTTTCCTGCCTTGTAAATTCAGGGCTTAAAGTTAGCTGCAGTTACCCTATAACCATGATGCTAAAAGTATGAGGACAAGAAGCCAACAAACTGAGAACAGTAAGTCCTGAATGACATGCTTGAGCTGTTAAACCAATCCTAGATATACACGTTTCAAAATTTCTACTTAAGTGAATTAGCCATTTTCCTTCTTAAGCCATTTTCATTACCGACTTTCTATTACTTGACTGAAAAACATACCAATAAAGGGTAACAATGTCCACTCCTTTTCCCTAGAAAATACACAGCTTTCTTTCAAGATAGATCTTAATTATTGTGGGATCTTGTGTGGGGGATGAGAAGCAGTAGTTGGAAAATGAGACAAGTAAACAATGTAAACAGAAGTATTCAAAATTCTTCTGGATAAATGGAACATTTATTGAAAGATTAAGACAGTATGAACTCAAACTTCCCCAAATGTGCTTCACCAAGTCATATAATATGTCTTTTCATTCTCTTGCTGTGTTTTTCATAGATTCTTTTTTTTTCTTTAGTGCTCGGGATTGAACCCACTAATTTGCATGTGCTATCTATACACACTGAACTATAACCCTGGACTCCAAAAATTCAAATTGCAATAAAACCCAGCTTATAAATTCTTTCTTTCATGGATCATGCCTTTGGTGATCCATGAAAAAGTCATTTCCAAACTTAAGGCCATATAGATTTTCTACTATGTTATCTTCTAGGAGTTTTATAGTTCTGTGTTTTACATTTAGGATTATAGCCCACTTTGAGCTTTTTTTGAAAGTACTAAGGTCTGTGTATAGATTCATTTTTTTGCATGTTGATGTGTCCAATTGTTTCACCACCATTTACTGAAAAGATTTTTTTTGTTGTATCATTCTAAATAATTGCACCAAGTAGGAACAGAGTAAATTTCAAAAAATTAGAAATACAAACTATCCAAAATAAGAAGGGTTAAACAAATCATGCTCAGCCAAAACAATGACTTACAGGTCTTTAATTCTGTATATGAAATCCTAGGGGCCAAGTATGTTTTAGAATATACAAGTTTCTGAATATTATAAAGGTAATACAGCAGATATGCCATATATAACAATATTCCCAGGAGGTTCTACAGCAACTCCTCCATAATCATACGCATTCATCATTCTACATTGTTGTAAGAATACTTAATTACTTCATCTCAGCGAAGGTCAAGTCTGTTTCAAATTCTGTATTTAAGCTCTGTGGATGAGAGACTATGATGCTTATGTACCCATTCAATGAGGTAAGAGATATAAGCATTGCTGTTCCCAAATACAGCCTAATTATAAACTTTACTCTAATTCCAAGCATACTTGCAATTCTCCCACCTAAAACACAACTTTTCAGAACAAGCCTCTGCTATATTCCCCTGCTTTATTCCCAAGATTCTTTGACTCCCCAAGAATAAATAACTATTCTTTAATACATTATGCCAAAATGTTCCAAACTGGTAATTCTAAGAATACTTTCTAATGCTGGTGATCTGGAATGTCTTCACTACAGGACTTTTGGTGAATACACATGGTATGTGTGTACGTGTGTAAATACAAGGTATAAGAAATGACTTTTAAAACACAAAAACACTGTTAACTATATCCACCTACCCTAGCTTTGTAAGTGCTGGGATTCTCACCTTCATACATCTGTGAATTCAACAAGTCTATCCTTCAATGAGATATTAATTATGATAACAGATAGCAATTGTATTCTTTGAGTTTTAATGGTCCTTTCCTGACAAAGCAAAAATCCCTTATTACCAAGTGTGGAAGTCACTGTTTCAGAAATTTCCAGAAGATGCCAATAAGAGCTCCTCTAAGAACAGATCAGTAAGCAAGGAAAATCAAATAAGCGATGTTCATTCTCCTGGTGGGAGATGGTAAAGGAGCAAGTATTTAGTGGAAGAACACTCCCTGGAAAGGGAACAGGAAGCAAACATTTTGCAATGGGGAAAAAGCTTTGAACCCTCAAGAAACAGCAAGTGAAACTGAAGAAAAACAAATGATGCTGACAGCAGTTGCTAAGATGGATAAGGTAGTTAGATATGGCCCCCTGAAACCTTTTCTAATTAACAAGTTCCTTATATTGAATGTTTTGTAAATTCCTAAACTAGGAACACTTATACACTTAAATTTAAGTATAAAAGCACCTAGAATTTAAATGTAAAATATCATACATACTGGTATTAAAACAGGCAAAGGAAAATATGTGTGTACTTAGGCTTTTGCTTTTTTTTTAAAGAGTATCACACTTATATCAAATCCTATCTAGAGGCAGTAAAGATAAAATAAAAAGGGAAACTGGAAAAATCTGGATTTTCCTTGCTTCCAATATACAGAGATATAACAAGTTGTTTTTATATGTTCTGTTTTACATATCAGTAAACAAAGTGGATAAAAATACCAACATCAAACATACCTTTGGTGAAATGATGCTCTCCACACTGCTTTCTAAATTACACTCAAACACATGGGCTTTGGTTAGCTTCTTATCCCAATGGGCTGCTAGCCAAATTTTGGCCAGAGGCCCTCTTTTACTGAGGACAAAATGTGCGTAAAACATGGTTCTGTTTTAGTCTAAAACAGGAGGAAACCTGAAGGGAGAAAAAAGTTAACATAATTACCACATGAGAACTATAATATTTATCAAGACACAGCTGAAAAATCTAAGACCTAAAAGCATAATATGCATTTTACAAAACATTGTGCTGTTTAAAATTTGAGTCCAAGGAAAAAGATACCCAAAAATTAAGAGCTAAAGGGAAAACAAACAGCTTTTATGTTGTGCTATCTTGAAAACTATCATCAGAAAATTCTTACTCTTTTTGAAATTCCATCAAGTGTTAATTAAAGTTCTATCCTGATTATTGATGGTAGAAAACGGTCTGTACACTAGTCAAAGGCCTAGAGAATATATTTCATGGCAAGAAAAAATGTCTGCCTAAGCCTGGCACATGTAAGGCCCTGGGTTCAAACCCTAGTACCACAAAAGAGAAAAATTCAAATGTCTGAGGTACTCAAAAATAATTTTCATTTAAAAAATACCATTAAAAAGATTCTTAGCTGAAAGGTTTTTAAGATAATTGCTACTTTGTAAAAATGACTGTACTAAGCATTTCATAGTCCACCAAGCAGAGCTAAGCAGGTAGATTGGTATCTTTTTGTCAGGTGGGTAGTTTAAAAAAACTGAGTTGCCAAAACAATAAAGTATCATGTATATGTATATCATATATATACACATACATACAAATATACAGTTTTATTCTGACTTAGGACTTTGGAAAATACTTGTCTACTCAAAATTAAAAGCATGTTATTGATAATTTACTTTTCTTTTAGCAAGTTAGTATACAAATATATAAAAAACAAAAGCCTGTCTGGAATATTACATTAGCTGTACAAATTGGTATTTTCTTACACTATTTAATTCTCCCTTTTCACACATTAAGATATTCATTTTGCCAAATGAATTTCTGCCTTTAAAAAAATCAATGACTAGAATAAGATGTATCAGTGCTGCCTTTTCAGAAATAAAAATCAAGAACACTTTTAATACATAAAAAGTACTTAAAAGTTTTAGCCTCTTTTTTTTTTGTTGCAATATGGGGGTTTGAACGCAGGGCCTTGTGCTTGCTAGGCAGGCACTCTACAAGTTGAGCCACTTCTCCAGTCTACAAGTTTCAGCTTTTTAATTGTGAAATTATTATAGATTCAGCTAGCTGTAAGAACAGTGGACAGGTCTTAGACACTCTTTACCCTAATGATAATACTTTATGTAACTATAATGAACCAAGACACTGAGATTGTGTTAATGTGTATGTATAACTCTATACAATTCTATCACATATGCAGATTTTTGTACTCACCATTGCAAGTAAGATACAGAACTATCGTTCCAACACCATAAAAGACTGTCACACTCATCCCTTGTTCCCCATCATTTTAGTAAGCCTTGGCAGCCAATACTGTTCTTTATATTTTTAATTTTGTCATTCTGAGAATGTTATATACACAGAGTCATACAGAATGTTACTTTTTTGAACTTAGCATAATGTTCTTGAGATCCACTCAACTTATTGCCATTTATTAATATTCTGTTCTTTTTTATGCCACAGTAGCATTCTGTGAGACAGGCAATATACCCACCATATGGTCATATGGGTGTTTAGTTTTTGGCTATTACTAATAGAACTGCTGTAAATATCATCTATATACTTACGGTGAACTTAGGTTTCCTCTAGAACAAATGTGTAATTGCTAGGCGATATATGTTCAGTTTTAAGAAAATTTAACAAAACTGTCAAAATCTTAGTGAGATTTTTTCTTTTCACAATATAGATGCGATTAATCAATATGGAGATAGAAAAGAACTAGAAAAGCTAAAACTATTTCAAGGATGAAGAATAAAATGTGAAGAAATTATTCCACTGATTTCAAGACTTATATAGCTTTAATAGTCAATATTGTGGTACCATAGCAGAAAGATACATATATCAATGAAACAGGACACAGAACTCAGAAACAGACCACATAAATAAGTCAACTTTAAATTTAAAAAAAATACAATAGCAATTCAATGAAGGGTAGTCTTCAACAAACAGTACTAGAGTGACTGAATGTCCTCCACAGCCAACCATATATCCTCCTTGCCAGCAAAAATGAACTGCCACACTAAACATATACAAAAATTATTCAAAACAGATCAGATTTAAATGTAAACTGCAAAACTTTTAGCAGGGGGAAAAATTTTTGGTACCAAAAGCATGGTGAGAATTTTTTAGACAGAACATCAAAAACATAATCCTTTATAGAAAATTACTCAATAAACTTGCCTTCACCAAGTTAAAAAAACTTTTGCTTTATGAAAGACTTCACTGAGAATGCAAAGCCAGGTTACAGATTAGAAAAAAATATTTACAAATCACATATCTGACTAGAACATCAATCTAGACTATGTAAGGAATTTTCAAGGTTCAAGAAGTAAAAAGAAAATTCAACTACAAAATGAGCAAGAGAAATGAAGAGATATTCAATATGACTAGCCACTGAGAAAATGCAGGTTAAAGTCCACCGAGTTATCAACATACACTTACTACAGAGGTTTAAGTAAAACAGAGTTAACCCCAAATGCTGGCAAGGACACAGAGAATTAAGATCTCTCTTACTTGCTGGTGAGTATGTAAAATCCCTCTTATATTAGCTTAAAAAAAAAAAGAGTAACTCTAATTTTCATGTTTTCCCATGAAAAAGAACTGCAACTTTTAAAATGAGAATTTGCTTACTGTACTTTCAATTAAAAATGTGCCCATTCTTTCCAATGATACAAATAAAATTTATTTTACTTAACTATATCACATGCAAGAGATTTCATGAATATCAAAAATACCTAGGAAGGTAGGGTATGGTAGGAAAAGAGTAACAGCTTTGCCTCATCTCCCATTTTCCATCACTTAACAGCAAAGGATCCTGAAACTCTTATTCAGTGAATCTAATGCTCCCAGGGGATCATTAGTTCGCAGTAGGAACATTTTCTCCAAAGGAAAAAATAACATGCTTCATCAACTGTCTACCAATGTAAACTTTTTCTCCCAAAGAAAAAATTCGAGTTAAGAACTAAGGAATACTATACAGAAAGAATTCAGATCAAATGCTCTAATGTGTAAGTTTTAAATAACACCTCAAGAGTTCCTTATTTGCTACTTAGTATTTTATAGATCAAAATATGCTTCCAAAAAATGGAGAGGTTCCTAGACCCAAAACAGTGTTTCTACTTCAGGTGCTGAAAAGCTTGTTAAAGCAAAATTTAAGCTGTCCCCACAGTGTTATAAATAAAACCTATGGAAATCCAATATGGCAGAGTGTCCTTTGAAATGTAGTTACTGTCATAAAAGTCCCAAATTTCACTCACTATGGAAACAATACACTGTATTCCAAATAAACCAAAAACTAATACTGTTTGTCACATGACAGTTACTAAATATGCATTTAATAAGTGAATGAGATACAACAAATAATCTCATAATTGACACATATAAAAAAAATTCTAGAGATTTTAGAAATTAAAACTACTGGCACTTTTCGACAGGTGCCAGTAGTTTGTGGCCAACACTTCAGCTGCTGACTAGGGCACCATGCCTAAAGTATCCCAGCTATGCAGAGGCCAGAGGCAGAGATTCCTAAATAGATGTCTTCTTGGTATTTTTTTTTTTTTTTGGGGTGTGGGGGGGGTGAGGGAACAAGTAAAGCAGAGTCAGCTAAAATTAATTTGAGAAACAGCTAGTAAGAGAAAACCACCCTAATAACTAAAGGCAGTCAAAGAAACAATGGTGGGTCAACTACTGGTTTATATGTGAATAAAGAGAAAATGTAATCATTGTTGCCTTTTTAAACCAATTTTTCTTGGCAATACCAGCCTTTATCCAACTTTAAAGGAAAAAAAGCCAGTTAATCTCTATAGATTTTGAAAATTCTAAATTCTGATTATGTTTTACAAAAGACCTTGGCAATTTCATGATTTCCGAATCATTTTTTTTCTAAAGCAGTAAGGAACTTTTTCTAATTGTTTCAGAAAAAAAAATTTTAAGTCCAACGCAAAGGACTGGTATTTTAGAACATATTCAGTAATTGAAAACATAGCAATTTCTTTAAGACTCTTCCAAAGAAGGAGAGTCAAACTGAAGCTCAAGCTTCTTCTAAAATATCAGTCATTACCAGTACTTCATTCATCTACTCCTCTACTAGTACAGTAGTTGTGTAAGCTAGTAACACCTCTTTGAAGGACAATTTGGCAAGTTCTTATGAAAAAAACTTCATATATTCTTGCTTTCTAGACAAAACTCCACTTCCAGGAATCAATATGAAATATATACTTGGAGCAGCATAATATTAAGATAAAGAGAGAACTTACTAAGCACCAAGTGTTTTATACATCCAATTTCATAATAATTGTCCTTATAAGGTAAAGACCAGCTCATTTTGCATGAGAAAACAGAGAGATAGAGGATAAATATATGTCACTAGTATTTAATGGAAGTGGAATTTAAATTTCAGTGCCCACACTTCCAACTAGAACACACTATGTTGTCTTGTCAGCACAACTTTTAATAACAAAGCATTTGAAATAACCAACTTGACCATCATTAAGTGAACTGAAAATTAATACAACCATACAAAATACAAGGCTGCCTTAAACAATGAAATAAAGTTAGCACTAGTATGGAAAAAATAGCTGGCAGGGGCATAGACCTTTCTTTCTCTAAACACACACACACACACACACACACACACACACACACACACACGGCCTCCCATAGTTTCAGGTTCCACATACTCAGATTCAACCAACTGCAGATAATATTTAAAAAAAAATTATGTCAGTACTCAACATGTTTTTCCTTTTCATTATTTCCTAAACAATATAGTATGACAATTCTTTACACAGCATTTACATTGTATTAGTAATTACTTTTAAGTACTCCGAGAACCATAAAGTACACTGGAGGATGCGTGTAGGTTACATGCAGAAAGTACATCAGTTTATGTTAGGGACTTGAGCATCCACAGATTTTTGGTATTCAAGGGGGTGGGGTGTTCTGGAACTAATCTCCTTCAGATACCATGGGCCAATGGTCCTCCCAATTTTTACTTTAATACATGCATAGGACTCTGCACACTTGGTTCTAAGGCACTTCAATAAAGTGAGCCACACAAATTTTTGGTTTCCCAGTACAAAGACATACCTTAAATTAAAAAAACAAGTGCTACCGCTAATAAAATGCTGATCATAATCTGAAGACTGGAAAAAATATGGTGCATATAGATTTGCTCAATATAGCAGTCTTACAAACCTTCAATTGGTAAAAAAGAAAAAAGTCAAAACAGTATCTGTGAAGGGCAGTTAAGATAAGGTATGGCTGTATTTTTGGTCCATGATTAGTTAAATACACCTGTGTGGAACCCCATGGACGTGGAGGCCAAATGTATGTATTTGCAAGCACTTGCATTAAGTATCTATGCAGTACACATGAAACTGGTGTCAACAGTTACCTGTGGAAAGAGGGTCTGCAGGGAGAGTGAAGCCTACCTTTTTGTACTGTCTGATATATATGTACCATACTGGGAGTCAAGACAAAAATCTTGTTTTGACATTTGCTAGTAAGTTATGCTATTTAACCTCTATGTAGTTCAGTTCTCTACTACAAAAACATGGAAAGATGACATCTGGCAATTTACTAACATTGGAAAACGTCAATACCCAAGTCAGGTAAGAATGGAGCTGTTTCACTGGGGAATGGAGGGAGGAGGAAGAGAAAAGAATGCATGTGTAACCCACCCCTCCCTTTCACTGTTTGACCAAGGGTTTTTACATTCAGGCAGTTCTAGATTCAAATTCAGTTCCCTTCTTTCTTAGTTGTTTAGTAATGGTAAATAAGTTATTTAACCTCTAATTTTAGGCTGGGCACAGGAGTACAAGTCTGTAATACCAGCAGCCAGGAGGCTGATGCAGGAGAGAGGATCCCAAGTTTGAAGCCACCCTGGGCTACCTAGTGAGATCCTGTCCCCTCCTCTCTCCCCCCCCCCGAAAGAATCTGAGTTTTAGTTACCTCACCTAAAAAGTGGGGATAATATGCACCAAGAATTATAAAAAGTAAATAGGTACACAAGCCTAACACGTGCCACAGTAGATGCAAACAGTAACTGAAAAAATTTTGCTCAGTCAGCATAATCACGCCTATTATGACAAAATAACGATGTTTCTCAAGGACTACAAAACTTGTCAAATTAACACAGTATAACATTTCTCACAATTTGTATGTTCTGCTAAACAGGCATTCATTGGTAAGGAAATTTTCAGCTTCAAGAATACCTAAACCATGTACCACTTCAAAGAGAAAGCGTAATTCTACAGTATACTAATACACTGCCTTTATAAGCACAAAATGGTAAAGGTTATGCTCTACCAACGTAATTCTGACTTGTGCATAGAAAGCATCATGCCCATTAGTTGTACACTGTTGTCACCTATTACACAAACTCTTAAGTCATCATCAATGCCTTCTCAAAAATAATTAGTTGCTCCAACATTAAACAAAGGTATTTAATGACTCTACAACTCAGGAAAGCTGCTTCAGTCCGCCTCCAAAATTCTGCAGACTCTCACAGCTCGCTGGCATTTACTCTCAATTTAAGAAAACAGGATTCCTCTCTACTCCCCCTCCACCACCAAAACCAATGACTATACAGTCCACTGCAAGCAAACACTAACTTGCACTTGTAAAGGAAGACGAGAAACACAAGCCATCACCAGAAACCCTTTACAACACCCAGGCGCTCGGAACGCAGAAGACAGCCTAACAAATCAGAGTGACCACACAAACCCCTCAGCATTTCCTTCTTTCAAATTTCAAGAAGGCCGCCAAGTCTGTCACCCCACGCGACCACAGCACTTCATTCCCAAAGCCCTTCTCCGAGACGAAAAAGGCGTCCAGCATCAAAGCGTGTGCACAGCACCCGATTACCCTTATTAAGTCTAAAAAAAGTAGAAAAGTTGAGCCTAAGACCAATTACACTTTGGTCCTAAAGGATCAGAACCAACTTCCCTTCGCCGCGTTTCCTGGTGGTCTGTCCATTTAAAAATATTCCCAACATACATTCCTTTTTAAACGGTGGGTGGGAGGCAGCAGCCAGAGGCTGGCGGGGCGGCGACACGGAGCCCGCGCGTTCCCGACCCGCGCAACCCAGCTCTGCGGACCGCGCTGCCTCCGACCTGGCCGGGCCATCACCGCCTGCTCCCGCCCCGAGTCCCGCGTCTCTGCGGACAGCCATTTTCATCGAGAGTAGGCGGCCCGGTCCCTAGAGCGGGCTCGTTCAAACCTCGTCCCTCCGCCGCCCAGGGTTTGTTTCCTCTGCTCCTCCGGGAGATGAGGGGCCAGCTCCCCGAGGAACAAGCCGACTAATGGCTTAGGTCAGCCTCTGAGTGGACCAGAACCATTTGTTACCGAACAGGCGATGATGCGGGCCCAGCCCGCGCGGGTCCCGGCAGAGGGCGGGCCGGGGCGGAAGGGCCTGGGCGGGCGCCGCCGCCAGTCGGGGCACCGGGGCTGGCAGCATGCGGGGGCGCGGCGAGGGCCGCCTTCCTCCTCGCCCTCCCGCGCCCGAGTCCCGCTCCCCCGACGGCAGCAGGGCGCCGAAGGGGGGGGGGAGGGAGCCGGAGCCAAAGAAGGGGTCGGCCGAGGCGCTTACCTGGCTCTCCGCTGGGAGTTAGTTGGGCGGGCTGGGTGGCCCGGGGAGGGGAAAAGGGTCGGGGGAGGGGGCGGGGAAAGGGGGGGGAGCCCTTGTGAAATGTAGCTTCGGAGCTGCTCCCGCCGCCGCCAAGGCCGCCGCCTCCTTTCGGATTCACTCAAACAAACAAGATGGCTGCCGTTACGCCGCGGCTCTTCCTGCCGCCCAAATCCTCGGTTCAAATCGGCAGGATGTTTACGGTCAAAATGATCCCCGTGCGCCTGCGCAGCCATCCTGCGCCATAGAAGGAGGGACGCAGGCGCAGTGTCCACTTCCTTTTCTTTGGTACCCGCCCTCTGGCCCGGGAGCCCGGAACTGAGCATGCGCAAAGGTGCGGCTTTGGGGAGAGAGGTTAGTGAGCTGCGCACGCGCAGTGTTGTCCATCGCAGTGGCTATTTGGGTTTAGCTTTATTCTTGGACTTGTTTTTAAAGCAAGCAGTAACCTTGTGCAGGTTTGTGTGTACCCGACACAGAAATTCACTTTAATGGCTTTATGTTAACGAAGAAAACATAAAAACTTTAAACTAGTAAAATGGGGGGGGGTTCATTGATTTAGTCAACCTATATTTATAGAAGGGCTTCTGTTTACCACATTGTCAGCCAAGCTCTGGAATATAATCATGAATACAATGGTGATAATCCCTGTCCACGTGAAGCTTGCAGTATAGCTAGAAAAGAATCTAAAAAATTTTACAAATATTTATGTGTGCCATAAAGAACAGATATAGATGGAGGAATAATTTACTTTTGTGTTCAGTTTCTAGCAATGTCCAGATTTGCACTTAGCTTTCAACCCTGACCTCATTTTCCTATTCCAGGATTTTTCTAGTTTCTTCACATACTTGTACAAGTCCATTCCCCTAAACCTGCTGGACTTGACTTTTCAGCAAGGTAAATACTATGTTCTGACTCAGCATCTCATCCTATCACAGTATTCATTCATCTCATTGTGCTTAAATGTCAAGTTAAATTTATTGCAAGAGTTAGCTGCAGACAGCATCTCCTCTACCTGGAAATACTTACATGATGAACTTGCATTTGTCAACTTTAGTAATTGTGGATTTATTTGACTAAAACCAAGACAGGACAAATTTAAATGAAAAATTTAGTCTTTAATTAAAAACATGATCTTCTATTTCTGATTACACAGATGATGACTTGTATATTTGAGTTAACGACTGAAAAACTGGATGTTTCCACTGTTTTGAGTAGATCTGTTAAAGAAGCTGTGTTCTATATCTTATTATTTCATAATGACACACAAAACTGGGACATTTTTGTGAGATAAAAGTTGTTATGGAAAGAGAAGATCAAACATACAATAGCAGTTTTACTTAAGAGTTGTGCACAATTTTGTTGACTTGTTCCTCTGAACTAACAAGGTTTTAAAACAATTCTTTATAACATTAAAACATGATAGTAAGTAGAAGGGGTTAGATTAGGAGAGAAATAAAAACATTTTCAGGAGTATTTTAATGTTAATAATGCATGAATATTAAGTATGCTGCACCAAAGCTTCTAAAATTTTTTTATTTAAATGAAGAAAAATCAAAGTACAAAATATTTTCTGCATAAGGTTTCTAAAATTAAGTGAAGAAAGATCAGTAAGAGTGAATAGCTTCTTTAAGGTTTTGGGATAAGCAGAGTAATCCAAACAGTATCTTGTCTATCCCTATGAGGGATTTTAAACAAAAAGAGGAACATATTTTAAGGATAAAGTTCATAGTGGAAAGGTAAATAGGCACCGACATTATACAAAAAGCAGAGGAATTAAGGACAAAAGTCATTATATGAAATATCAATTCCTTTTTTGTGTAGTAGTACTGAGGTATGAACTCAGGGCATACTTACTAGACAGGCACTCTACTGCTTGAGTCATACCTCCATGTGAAATGCTCTAGATACCAAGTGAATGATAATGGGATGTAAGTGTGTTATAAGCATTGGAAGTGATAGATTAAATTGCTAGTTAATCCTAAACTTCAAGCAAAAGCTGTGGGGTTTCAGTCAAGACTCTAGAAAGAGACTGTAGACATCCCTGCTAAGCTACGGGTCTGCTCACGGAGGTAGGTATCAGCAAAGAAAAATCACCAGGGGTTGGAGTGAACCCTGAAATGATGGAGGTGAGTCTCTGGTCATATGTGAATGTGAATTTGTTAAGGATTGAGATAGAGACCAGGAAAATTCTCAGGGACAGAATCTAGATCAAAGTCTATGTTGTTTACTTGGACTTTTCTCAGGAAATTTCACTATGCTAACCGAAATTCAATTCTGGGAGCATTTTCAACTCTTTAGCTGGGAACTTTTGTTAGTGACCATTTTGACACATTTCCTCCATTTTCGTACACATCTTCTCCTTTGTAATAGTACAAATCTTTGAGAATGATGGGTACTTAATGTAAGTAGGTAGTGTTCACCCTTAAGCCTTCTAGACATTCACTTCAGAATCAAGGTATTTTGTTGTTTTAATATGGTATCTACTATTCCTTTCATTCTGTAATATGGTTTAAAAATTATTAGGCAAAGTGGTGGTAAATAGGATTGAAGTAGAGCTCTTAAAACCAACAGAACTAACCAAAATACCAACAAACTTCTAAAAAAATCATTGCAAATTTTTAAAAAGTGTTAAATTACCAACAGTTGAGGAAACAATATGGTAAATACAGTACTTTTGCTACAAAGAATGTGAAGTTGCTTAATGAGAGGAATAAGAAATGTAGAAGCTGTTATGAGAAATTAGAAAAATGCAGTGGGAAAAGAAATTGCTACAGTAAGCACGTCAAAGACACAGCACAGGACCAAACTGAGCCAAGAACTGACATGAATGCCTGGACGTGTACTTGGTTCTTTGTGGCTTGATAGGAACAACAAAAATTAACATACCATGGGAAAAAAGAATCACAACTGAATCAGTTTAATTGCCATGTTATTTGGAAATCATTTCTCTATTTGCTAATCATATATGAAGAATTAGCATTATTATAAAAATTGGTATGTGTCATAACATCGAAACTCTTTGCTTAACACTCTTTGCTTAACTATCAGTAGGGTCTGATATATTCATGGCAGGGGGTCAAGAGTGATACTTATCCAATTTTAATGGATTTACTGCTTACTTTGAGATTTTGTTTTATAAAAATGTAATAGGAGTCTTTTATTGCATCATTAAAATATCACAAATTGGTCTTTCTGGGATCTTATTTCTGCAGCTGGGTAATTTGGATTTTATTTATTAGCTTCCCCCTCCAGAAATATAGATGTCATCTAAAAACTCAGGCATCCTTATTTTAGCTGTTGTGACTTACTGAATCAAAGCAGCTGAATTTGAGACAAGTTTAGTGTCATTTTCCTCCAAAGATTAAGTCATCTTTTTGAGCTTGAGATACTGAACATGCAACACCTGTCCTCAAACGAACCCTGAGGATGTATTTCTCCCCCAAGAAATTTTGTATTTCAATAAGAAACTGAATATTGAGGAAGTGAGCATACACATAACTGAAGCCAGGTGTAACACCCTTGATCATGTTCTGTACATGACTACAGAAAGTGAATGGTAGCCAGTTCCCTTCCATTTCCCCACCATTTGTCAACCCTGAGCTGCTTCTTTTACTTTCCAAGGAGAGTGAATTCTATAGTGATATGATTGAAGTCCTTCAGAGAGTTCCTCTGAGGCCCTTCACAATAGCTCTGCATCCCTTCAAACTGATGTCGACATTCTCTGGAATGTGGACATTCTGATGACTGAGAATGGCCCTTATTGCTTGCCCAACCCTAGAAGTCTTCATCAGGAATGCTATTCCAGTAAGGCTGATGGAGAAGCCCAGAAAAGAACTCATATCACCTGCCTCTACATCTACATGGCACTTGCTGTGCAGGGGACCATCAGGGAAAGGGATCTGACCTGCACTGCTGGCTTTTCCAGAGCTGATGGGTTTCAGATTCCCAGAGCACATCAAGATTTTGTTTAAATCAGATTTGAATTCAGTAGTTTGGAGCTGGAGAGTCTGCTTTTATAGACAGCTTCCAGGTAATTCCAAGATTTCAGGTATGTGGACTACATGTTTTTGAAAATAGAGTTTGGAATCAAGTAGACCTGGGTGTTTATCATGGCTCTTCCTTTTAGTAGCCGTATGATTTTGTGCAAGTTGTACAACCTGTCTGAGGCTGAGTTTTCTCATACATAAAATCAGGCTGATTTTATCTGCCCCTTTAGTGCTGAGGTTCATAATATGTGATAATGTAAAGTGTTACATTGCTTGAGCTCAGTAAATATTAGTTACTATTTTAATATTATTGTGGTTACAGTCATTGAAATTTGGATATCTAATCACATACTTAATTTCCACACTATATTTGCTATCCCTTCTAAGATATACTGATTCTCCTTTGCTATTGATCTTTAGTCTATATTGAGTGACAAAAGCTGATACTTGCCTTCCAACATGTTTGCCTTTGGCACATGTCACCAATATTAATAGATTACATTTCCCAACTTCTCTTGAATCGAAGTGTGGCCAAGTGAATTTTTTTTCGTGGTGTTGAAGATCAAACCAAGGACCTTGTGCATGCTAGGCAAGTGCTGGAATATTAAGCCACACCTCTTGAATATGTTTTATGTGGGCATTCTTAGAAGTTTTCTAAAAAGTGGAGCAGGTTACTCTTCTCTTTCCTCTAAATATTTCGAAGACATTGCTGCTTGGAACACAGATGTGATGGCCAGTGCTCCAATAGCTATCCTGGACAATGATGATAAAGATTAATGATAGAAAAGCAGTGAGGTGGACAAGTCATGATAAATTTGTGGAGTTGTCATTTAAGCCTTCAATTGCCTACCTCAACATCTATTTTGTAAATGAGCAAGTCCTATCTTAATTTTTTCTGTTTATGTTGCTGCATATTTATGTTTGTACAGATACACTTACCTAGTTCAAGTACTTTGCAAGATACAAGGGATTAAAAAATGAGTGTCTTATTTCTAACTTCAAGTAGCTCAATCATCTATGTCATCCATGGTGTTTCATAGAGTACTGTTTTATAATTTCACTGGAGAAACTTTTTTCTCCTATAAACTTTACTTTCAAGCAACCCTCTACCTATGTTCTTGATCATGTTCCCACCAAATGTTTTCTTCCAAATCTTTATTATACATTCCATTCTTCTTCAAAAGCAGTGCATTAGAT